TATGAATCGCAAGCGACTCGACGGCACATAACAACAACAACAACAAAGGTGAGGGGAAGAGAGAAGCTACATTAAACTGCTCGGAACTGATCCTAGTCTAGATGTGAAGTTGAAAAGGAGAGAGTAGGAAAAGCTCTCTGTACTGACTCATGGTCCACCCCGTCTTGAGGCAAAGTCTGAGCCAGAAGCTTTAAATGAGGCACCTACAGCACATAAACTTAAAATAACTGACCCCTACTGCACACTTATCATGAGTCAGGCAATTTTCCAAGAACTTTTACATGGATTGACAGCTTTGATCCTCAAAATAAGACTATGAAGTAAATAATTGAATTATGATGATTTCATAGGCAAAGCAATTGATATAGTGAAATACGGTATCCAAAACGGGACTGTCATAAACGTCAGAAGTGGGAAACAACAGGGGTAGCCTACCTCTGGCTCTCACTTTTTAACCATTATACCACTTGTAGTTATTCCTCTAGAACCACAAAATCTGAGTTGTTGAAAATTACACAAGGATTTGAAGATTCCAAATTGTACCAAGATTCCATTAATACAGGTTTATTAGTATGAAATCCATACAAATGCAAAGAGTATTACTACAAGTCCAAAGGCCCATGGTTCAAGAACATCAGCTGCTCTGAGTGAGCTTGATGGGCTATCTCCTTCTGTGCAATTTACTGACTCTGAAAACCTACTATGAGTTGGTTCCAACCTAACAATACATAACAACAATGATATAGTTAGGAGACAAAAATTCCATCATATATCAGAAAAGTAAATACTGACCTGTAAGAATTACTCTTTTCTCACAAGAGAGGCTAAGGAGGGCTGTAGTTGTCTTAATGGCGCTGTTCTTCAAGCGATGTCCTTCATCACAAATAAGAAGGTCAAATTTTATATTCTTAATTTGATCAAGGGAACGAAGTAACATTTCATAACTTATGATAAGAACAGAATATAATGGAGATTTAATGAATTCTTCTACTTTGTGATCCTAAAAGAAAGAAAGAAAAAAAACAAACCAAATATACAACACAACAAACCCAAAACAATTCAACATAATCTTTAACAAATCAAGGCCAGAAAATCAAATTTAAGCAGCACAATCCTGACAACCACATATCAAGCATTAGAATACATTAACTCAAAGTAAAAATGTAAGCCCTAACACTCCATTACTGTACAAAGGCGTTAGAAAGTTATTTACATAAAAAAAACTGTATGAGAGAGACCAAAAACTGCAATACTGATTTGAAAAGCTTCTGACTTACAAAATGACTACAATTAAAATTTTTTAACTCTCTTACCTGATCCACAGTAAATATCTTGATCCTCTCACCTCCCAGCCATTTTTTAAATTCTTTCATCCAGTTATTCACCAAGCTTCCAGGTGTGACGATAAGTGTCTTCTTTATTACTGGCTTGCCTCCATAAGGTCCCTGACACTGGAGAGTCCAGATGAGCGAAATACACTGCAGTGTTTTCCCTAGACCCATTTCATCGGCAAGAATAGCTCCATATCTGCCATTCATTCTGTAGGAAATAATTGCACTTCTTTATATCACAATGGAAAAAATGTTATGCTCTTAAAATCATCACACACACACACACAAATAATCATCACTCACTAGTCAAGAACTAGAGTTGATACTCTGCAATTTGATAAATTCTAACACCCAATGAACAATGTTCCCCAGGTTTTTAATACATCTGATTTATATAACTCATTTCTTTTATAGCTCTTTTTTGTTAGTTAATAAAATAACTTAAAAGATATTATAATATCAAACAACAAAATTTATTGAGCTATATTTACATTTTCTGATAACAAAGAAAGTCTTCAAACAAAATAGCTTTACGTACTACTGTAGCAAAATTAAACACTAAAGATTTGATATGTGGTAAATTAATACATTTGTTATTATACAGGTTTACTAAATTAATGCAATTTTTTTACTATTATTTGTGTGTGTGTACTGTCAAATTGGATCTGACTGGCACATGAGGAGATTATCACTCCTTCTCCAGCAGAGCATCTAGTGAATTCAAACCACACGCCTCTAGGATTGCAGTGCAGCTTCTTGCCACTCGGCCACCAGAGCTCCCTCTAAATTAATGCAATTTTAAACAAAACAATGTTAAGAATATTATTGTGTCCATGCATTAATACTACTTTATATTTTTAAAATATGCAGACACACACACACACACACACACACATATAAAGTCCAAGAGAAATATACTAGGAAAAGTAAGTATCATTTATTAATTTATTATATTTAGTGTCAATAGAAATAACCAAAACAGCAACCTTCCACATCAAAGTATATGGAAAAATTGACAAGTATGTTGAGGAGCCAGTGGCATAGTGCAGAATATACAAGGCTGCTAACCACAAAGTCAGGGTTGAAAACCACTAGCTGTTCCAGGAAAGAGGACAGGCAGTCTCCTCCCATACTGTACAGCCTTGGAAAGCCAACACAGGATCAACATAGGTCTGAACTGACTCAAGGGAAATGACTTTGGGTTGTGGTTTATTATATAACTATAGATCAACAAAACAAAAATTTTAGATCAATAAAACAGTGCCTGGTCTTGTACCATCCTCACAACATACTGTGTTTGAGCCACTGTTGCAACTAATGCATCAATCCACTTTGGGAAAGTCTTCCACTCTGTCACTGAGTCTTTACCAAGCATAATGGCCTTCTTTAGGAATTGGTCTCTTCTGAAACACGGCCAAAGTACCCAAGAGAAAGTCTATCTTCACTTCTAAGGAACATCTATCTGGGTGTACTTCTTCCAATACATGGAAGTTTATTCTTCTGGTCCAGAGTTCTCAATATTATTCAGAACAAATAACTCTCGCATAAAGGAAGTAGAGCCAAGGCGCTGCACATAAGGAAGGATGACAAGGCTTGATCTCACATACATTGGGCATTTTGTCAGGAGAGGCCAGCCTTGAGAAAGATACCACGCTGGGAAAGGCAGAGAGTCAGAAAAAGCTAGGAAGACACCTTCAACAAGATGGATTGACTAAAATCACTGTACTTTCTGAGACATATTAGACTCTTTCTAAAAACCTATTATTGCTATACTGTTGTTAAGTGCCTTCGAGTCGTAGGTAACTCACAGCGACACTATGAACTAAAGTCCTCAATACTTGTGCGACTTTCATCCTTTCTCCAGGTTTATAGGGTTTCCGAAGACAAGCTATTATGGAAGTGGATAAGTAACACAAAAACTGTCATTAGAGGAATACTAGGGACACATTCTTATTCCAATTCTAATAAATTCATATGGTTCTGCTCCACTCCAGTTCTGATCTTAAATATAGGTGCAGAACCTCATTAATTTCAAATTAGCATCATACTTCACAAATTAATAGGCACAGTTCTCTAGACTGCCAAGTCAGCCTGAAACTTCAAACACTACACGTGAGCTTTGAGGTTGCCGCAATACCCTAACTCTGGCTTGCTGGCTACGCTGGATGCCTGCCGTAAGCTCACAGGTAATCTGTGATCTGCTGACTCCTACTTCCCTTGGGCTTCATAATTAACTAGAATGACCCACCGATTCAGGAACCTTACCATTACCATTTTATTATGGCAAAAAGAAAACAGATTAAGACGAATGTAGGGCAAGACCTGGGAGAATTCACAATGCAAAGTTTCTATTCTCCACCGACAACATGACCCTCCCAATTTCTAACGCCTTTCATCAACCAGAAAGTTCATGGACCTTCCTGTCTACAGACTCTAAAAGGGTTTCATTACATAGGCATGCCTGATTGAATTCAACCTCTTGAGATTGAGCTGGTATCATATGATGGGACTTTCTAGCTTGGCAAGCCCAAATCCAAGCGTTACCTCTCATTAGCATAATAGGTTAGGCAGGTGTAGTCTGTGGCACCCACCAAAGACACCTGAATCACTAGAAATTCCAAAGTTTAGATACTATCTCTCAAGACTTAGGGTCAAAAGGCCAAATTCTTCAGGTAAAACTAACTTTTAATTCTCCAACTATATTCGGTTCCTACCTCATTCCCATCAGGCATTCATAAAGGAATATGATTCCTTCTTTCTGATGTGGTCGAAGATGACATACAAGGTATGGATCTATTACTACATCCACAAGAGGGCGACAGGTCTTATTGAACAGCCACTGATGATTCTTGTTTGGCCGTGGCATAACAAGGGAATCTTTGGAGAAAAGAAAATGCATAAGCATTAACACCTTGAAAGATCATTTCATCAGCAACTAAATTATCTCGCTTTGATTATCTGTAAACTATCATTTATAACCAGAAACTATTTGAAATTTAGTAACAATTACACCAAGCAAGAGTACACAATTTGGAAAAGAAAGTCATTTTCTTTCACAAAAAAGATTCACACATAACTTTCTAAACGACCTAAATCCAAATGCTTCAAAACTACTAGAATGTATTATTGTCTAATAAAGAATTCAGTCAGCCACTAAATTTCATAGGTCAGTATTCAGGGCAGAGAGAATTTTCAGCTGAAAGCACAGGTTGGAATTTTGTCCAGATGCATTTGCCAGTGTTCATAGTCTCTCACTTTTTCATAACGGCTCCCCTTTTCTTAACGGAAAAGGCTCTCTTTATTTTCACTCTTCTGCACATTAACAATGGCCATTACCCTCATTAATCAGAAGAACTGCAAAAGGAGACAAATTTTTCCATTGGCTTGGCCATCATTTACTTAATTACTAACATTCATGGGTGTTAAATTCACGAACCTTTGCAAAGCAGTACAAAATAACCATCAAATTAATGGAATTCTTTAGAGATGTGCAAGCACCATTTAACATACTTTTCAAAATACGGCCAAAAAGCACAAATTCAGATATAACTAGAAAGCAGGTCTCAACTGGTAAACCTGAAGTCAGATAATAAAGCCACCACAATTATTTTTAATAGATTTCCTGAACTATGCCAAACTATAAAGACTGAATTAAGATTTTAAAAAGAAAAAAGAATAAAATGAACTGAATTTTTAAAATAAACAAAAAAGAAAAGGACAAAAGAGATGAGAAGGAGAAACTAAGAAATACAATCCAGGAGATTAAATGAAATATCCATCAGTGGAGAAATGTGTATTTACAAGAATGGATTTGCTCATATTTACCGTTAGTAATTACCCAGAAGATGTTTTTTGTGGGTATTACGAGGTTTTTGAGGCACTTTTATCTCTGAAGCCAATACTTGATATATAAAGGATTTTGTGGTTGTTCCTGGATGCCTTAGAGTTGATTTTTTCTCTCTTAGTGACTCCACGGGGACCTCTGGTGGCCTAGTGGTAAGAAACTGCACTGCCAATCCAAAGGCACATGGTTTTAATCTGCCAGCAGCTCCAAAGGGGAAAGATGGACAATCTTCTCCTGTCTGATTAAATGCCTCTAAAAATCTGCTGGGGATTTCGTTTCAACTCAATGGTATCCAACAAAAACCCTGACCCCATGGAATGGAGCAAACTGCCTCATAAGCTTTTCCTGCCTTTAATCTCTCCAGAAGCAGATGGATAGGTCTTTCTCCAGAATCTCTGGGCTAGTTCGAACTGCCAACTTTTTGCTGAACAGTTCAGTCAGCTTATATTTACTGTACTTTAATTACGTATGTGGGGTAAGAAGCCTGTGAGCCAGTCCTCCACAGGTAGAGGATTAGGGACAAAAGGTGGAAAATTTAACCTTTATCCTTTCTCTCTATCCCATGAGCAAAGCAAGAGTATATTCCTTATGCATTTCTAATTGAAATGGTTCCTTCTTTTTGGTCTTTTAAAAAGCATAAAAGAAAAAGAAAA